TTTTTACAGAAAATGTTTACATCATCTTCTTAGTAATAAACGATGATGTAGGATTTAGTGTTGGAATTTTTTTTTTTAATGTAAGCTCGTATTTTAATAACAACTATATGTTATTTATATTTTAACACTACAAAAACAGAACTTTTCACATCGAAAAATGTTACACAATTATATATAACATATTATCAAATATTTTATATAATTCACATTATTAAAGACTTTTAATAATATTTTTATATTAATATTTATTATAAAGAAAATATATTTCTATAATAACTTTTTTTAGTTTTTACTTTTGATTGGATAATTTTATCCTTAATGTTAACTTTTAATTAATCATCACTAAATTTATATCAAATATAAAAACTCATTTATTTTAAGTATAATTTTATGATTATATTTTTTTTAATGTATTTGAGACTTTAATTTTAAAAAAATAATTAAATATTGGATAAGTGTATTATTTATGTAACAGTTTTTTTACTCTTTTAATTTTAAAAATAATTAAAAATAATAATATTAGAATAAAAATATTAAAAAATATTACTCTAATTATAATATTAGAATAAAAATATTAAAATATATTATTCTAACTATAGTAATATTTTTTTTAAAATATTGTAAAATAATCTATTTACTTAATTTATAATAACACTTTAATAAATATAAATAGATAAATATTGTTAAAGAAAGCAAAATGTATTTACTTAATTTATAATAATATTTTAATAAATATAAATAGATAAATATTGTTAAAGAAGTAAAATGTAATAGTACGAGTAGTTATAAAAAAAAAGTTATATTTTAAGTGATCCAATTAATTAGATCAACTTGTTTATTTTTTTTCTTTTTTTTTTTGGAAATTAAATTGGATCGCTTGTTAAACTACTAAAAAAAAAAGGTGTTAGGAGCTTGATAATTAGATATTTTAATTGTTCAATTTTAAAATGGGAACATTCCTAGAGCTAATATTAATTTCCCGGGTATGAATTGATTGAACTCTTGCATCATTCACCATCAAAGTGTCTTCTGTTTACAACAAAGCAAACCTTATTGATTATCTTATTATTATCATAAAAATCTAAAGATATACTAGAAGCTATCCATTATTCAACGTGGCTAACTTCAACGGGTCATAAGTCTATGACACTCAAGGGTGAGAACACGTGGCATTGTGTTGCAAAAGCGAAGAGCTGAAGCTTAATTTTGATGAAGCCAAATCAAACACCAAAAGATTATCCTGCAACTGATATCCACCGATTACAATCGAAGCTTTCACAAACGACATTCTAGGCTCTGTCCCTCCATCAACAAATGCAAGACATGCAACATTTTTCTTCACCATGACCATGGAATTTGCTCCATGAATAGTCCACTGCAGTCCCCCTTGAAGAACTAGATCAATAGTTGGCACAACAAGTCCACTCACAGAATTCCCAATGGTGGTCGAATCATAACATGCCTCAAATGGAGCCACTGATGCTACTTTCTTCAACTTTCTATCCGAAGCCTTCTTGAGGAAATCTCGAAGGAAGGGCTTGTACACTGAGGTTTGCAACTCAGTGTAGGGACTCATGGTGCTGATTTTGGTGCCACCATTTCCCTTGTTGTCAATAGACAAAAGGGAAGGTTTCAAGTTCACAACATGGCCATCAATCTTAACTGCTTTCACATCGATGAAGTACTCCTTGGAAGGAACACCCTTCACAGATATAGCACCAGTGGAAACGGGGTTCACAATAAGAGGAGTGGTTTGGAGAAATTTAGACACTCCTTGAGGATGCAATTCTCCAAGGAGCAAGTTGGTGAAACCTTGTTTGTTTGAAGAAGGCAAACAAAGAGAAAACTTGGTGGGAACCTTGTTTGCATTGGCAAGCTGAATTGGTAACACAAGTTGTGACCTTGCAAGGCCTATGATTCCTTTGGTGTTTTGGGGTAAGCCATATAGAGGTGACTCATCGTTGGTGAGTGATGTGAATCCATCGATTTCAATGCAGCCAGAAAGCAAGCGAGGGACTTGGTTTTTAGAAATGAATGTGAAATCCTCACCTAGGCCACTACCAAAGATGGACTTGGCTAAAGGGTTGATTGCGTAACTTGGACATGTGTTGTTTGTGCAACCTGGTTTGAAGGGGCCATTGCAACCAACGCATCCAACATCGGGGCATGACTTTGAGCCACAAGGGATAGGGGTGTAGGATGATGAGTTGTAATGAGTGTCACAATCGTACCATAGGTTTTCTCCTGCAAGATCAATGGCTAGATCGAAGTTGTGCCTAGGGGTTCCTATGCCAAGTGAAGTGTAGAAGAGATTGGTCGAAGGGTCTTTCTTAATGGGGAGGGTAAAGGGGTGTGGTTTGGTGTTTGGAGCATGAGATGAAGCTAAGATGGAAAGTGGAGAAAGGGCTATTGAGAGGAGGAAGAAATGGATGACAAAAGAGGAAGCCATTGTTGAGACAGAGATAATGGTGTGGTATGTGTGTGTTGTGTTTAGTTCACAATGCTGAGTTTCCTTTTATAGCATGGCATGTGGCCATGTCATCTTATTCATCGTATTTATTATCTTTAGTGTTTCGTCAAAAAGGGTGGCTAAATGATATTTGGATACTTGTTGAAATAGGTGGTCCCCCCTCCTAAAGAATAAAAGGGCAAACTTTTTCGTGTTTCTTAAAAACAATTAATCTTTTAATTGCAAGTGTTCTAGTTTTTGCAATCACATTATAATCATAATAAGAGATTCGAGCAAGAAGTATGTGAGTTAACATTATGTTTCTCATGTTATGGGTAAAAATAAAATACATGGTTGGTGATTCCAAATGAGTCTTGTTTGGCTTTCTTCAAGTTCTATTCAACTAAAAATTGCATTCCGTACTTACTCACCGTCAAATTCATGGTCAATTCAAGCTGCAACAATTTACGTTGAAAAATTCAATGTTTTCATGTACTCTCTGGAATACTGGATGCTCTGTCCGTTTTGTCGCCGTTGTATCTATTAACCATGATAATCTTTATGTGGACAGAGATAGTAATTACCCTCAAATTTAATAGGTCTTTGTAAAATATATCTATGATAAGTGGCAAATTATCTACTAAATAGGTTGAGTTTTAATATAAACATTTATATATAAATTTTACAAAGATGAGTGTGAGCACGTGCATTTTATTATACATCTCGCCTTGTACTTGTTTAATATTTAATATATTAAATTAAGTACAAAAGAGTTCGCATTATTAATCAATTTTAATTTAATTTTTAAAATAATTATTAACAAGATAAAAAGAAACTTTATGCATGATAATTTGTAATTGTACGACAAAATAAGAAGTAAACTCTATTTCGAAACCCAGTCTATACGCGTAAACTATGGTCGCTGCCTTCATTCATAGTTTGGGCCAAACCTGTTTTATCGGAAACATAATGAGGCAGGTATCACTAAGCAGTAAATATTGTTACTGGCCCAGCTTGGTTAAGTTGTTTAAAAATGGTTGATTTGTATACTATTACTAGATTACTAGATTACTTCATCCACTAGAACAAGTAATGCTGTTATTTCCTAATTAATCCGGTTGCCATTATTGACATTCCCTACTTCCCAACTTGTTAGAAATGGATACATCTTATATTGCAATGCAATTTCACATCATTTGCCTCTTTTATACGACACATTTATATGAAATATAACAGCACAGCACAAGGGTGGCACCTTCGTTCTCATTGCGGTTTATACTCGTGTTATAACCGGTGAAATGCTCGGAAACATGTAAAATTTACTCATAAATATTATAAGTATCATATTAAGTAAATGCAATTTCATTAAAGATCGTATAAAATTCATTACTTTTAATTCTATTATATTAAATAGATCAATTCAAAGAGCGATAACCATAAAATATATCAATATGAATAACAACAGGTATATATATATATACACACAAGTTTTGACTAATTTTAAAAATTAGTTTTCATCAGGAACACGATTTTGAAACTGAGGCTAAACCAAAAAAAAAAAAAAGGATTTTGACCAAGTTGATTTTTTTTTTCAACAGGGTAACATATGAAAATAGATTTGTATTAAAAAAAATAATAAAAAAAAAAAAGGTAATGGATTAGTATTAGTATTCACTACAAATTTGGGAAGTTCGAAAATTAGACATGAACTACTTTTGCTGAGTTATCATGAAGGACCAAAGTTTATACTTTTTCAACTTGGTGTACAGATAGCTATTTCTTTTTCCTACGCACATAACACGTGGAAACTCACTAAAATCGGATTTTGATTTGAAATAGGTTTAAAATTAGATTTTAATTTGAAACTGGTTTAAAATTATATTTTGATTTTTAGATCCAAAGTGGTTTTAAACCAAAAACCAGTTTCAAAAATCGGTTTCAGAAAATCCAAGTAATTTTCTAAAATAATTACATGAATCTGAATTTAAATGGCAATCCATTTATTTGGATATAGATTTTCCGACCCATGCCCATCTTTAGATAAGGGGACACAAAAAGTAGTTTCTATATAAATTTATTTCTAATGCTTAAAATAGGAGATATTGCATTTCAAATGACCTTGCTTTGAGCAATCTAGCTGTATACATTACTTTGGTTGCCAATGTTAACATCCATGCACTTTAATAACTTCTTTTAAAAAGGAGGAAACCAAATTTTACAATTAGGGCTTTTCATTTTAAATATTTTTCCCTTTATTTTCACATAACACCACTTATAAAACATTGAATAATTTCCCTATACATTTTCTTTTCTCTTCCTTTTACCTCATACATCGCAACACATTTTTCTTCTCCAATTGTATGAAAATCATCGACTCTTAAAGCTAATTTGATCCAACGGTTTGCAAACACCAGAGGAGTTTTGTTTTCAAGGAAGGGAATATATAGTCAAGTCCTGTTTGGGTGCTGAATAGAAAGATATAAACATCGCAGCAAAAGTCGAAGATTTGCCATTTAAACTGAGTTTTTGCAGATACAATAGCAAAAGCTTCCACCATCTTTCATAGCCTTATCATGAACCACCATTTTCATTGTTTTAATCAACCTTCACAACGGCAGGGCACTTTGAATACTAGTCCTATTCCTAATTAGTTGCACATTTCAATGAAAACCTCATTTTCTAGCATCGAGAAATAACAATAGTAGCTATGTCGGAAACTAGAAACAACAACGAACGTGAGGGTATCTATAGAAAATCTAATTTTTACATGGTGGAAAATCATAAATAGTTAACTAATCAATTGCAGTAATTCAATTCCACTGATTAAATTTTGCCAACTTGTTCTGGAAACCTAAAATACAAAATTTCACCACTAATACAAAATGTAATAACTAAAAAAAATATATATATGACAAAATTAAACACGGCGACAGAAAAGACAGGTGGTGCCCTGCCATTCAAGTCTAAAATAAAATAGCCAAAAAAAAAAGAGGATACATTCAGCTACTTAAAAATGCACCGTTTTATGCCAAAATAGTAATACCTCATCAAAACGCTGGTAAGGCATACAACCAATCAGCTTTTACTCTGCAAGAAGTATGACCTTTCTACTCGTCTGTCACACATCCGCTAGAAGCAGGTTTCACATTTTTAATATACTGGATACAGAAAAACAATATATAAGCTTATAAACACAGGAACACAAAATCACCAACAAAAGTGTAGATCAGATTTCATTATCCAAAAGGTGCCGATGATTACATTTAAATTTATTAGTATAAATACAAATTCACTTTTGATCAATTGAAAAAATAAAAGTTCATTTACCATCGTAATATCTTTCAGCTGCTATATTTTTGTCTTTCAACGACACCCATCCTTCGAAGAAACTTAAGTTTTTTATGAACTGTGTTTGACCACAGCAATACCAACTTAGAGCTTCGAAGAATGACGTGCAGTCCCTTCCATCAAAAACATCACTAAAACCTCTATATTAAAAAAGTCTAAACGGTCGAGGACTGGTTCACCCATAACTTGATGAACCAAATTGTAACAATTGAAAATAGGGTGACCAGAGTAGTATTCATATTATATGGAACAAAATATAACGACAATTCCATAAAACTACATTTTGTCCGGGAGTTTCAAGCCACATACCTTGTACAGAGCTCCTTGGTTAGCTTTGTATGGAGGAGCAATCCACTTTTTCCTGCGTGCCTCCATCTCCTCATCTGATACCAAAGCATCAATTCTCCTCTTCTGGATGTCAACATTGATTATGTCTCCATTTTGAATCAAGCCAATAGGACCACCTTCCTATAAAATCAATGAAGCTACTAAAATTATTATTGGTTCGCTACAAAGCACTATTATTAAAGATTTTCTTTATCTTCAATAGTAAACTGAACAAAATAGAAAATAAGAGTAATACTTTTACAACAATTTGTACAAGAGATAAAGGAGAAATTTGAAATGATTTTCTTTATATTCAAAAGTAAACTGAATAAATTAAAAAAATGAGAGAAATGATAGTTTTACAACAATTTGTACAACTAAGAGAGCGAAAAGGGAGAGAAATTTGAATTGTAATAAATGATGTGATGAAAAAAGATAGACACAAATTAATGTACAAATTGTTGTACGTGCATCGCATCTCAAAAATAAAATCATGTAAATTCAACATCTCTTCATCAGGCAAAGGTATCATCCAATTTTCTAGGATACAATTGTTAAGCTTAATCTTACTATAGTTTCCTTAAGCATTCTACCTTATTAGTTCTTGTAAACATTAAAAGAAGTAAAGTTGCACATAATTACAGTAAAGCATTATGACATTATCTTCAACATTCACAATCTGGCATACTACTCTTACACCCACTACAACAAAATACCTTGAATATTGAAACTAACCCACAATAACACTGATATAAACAACACTCCATGAGCTGAAGAAAGTTTTATACAACACATTACTGGTAGTAAACATTCCTTAACCAATACTCCCTCTGGACCTATATAAAAACAAAAAGTGCTTGAAATTTTTGGACTGAAATATAAGCAAATTTCAATCAAGTCAACCTTATTCAATGTTCTTAATCCAAAAATACCCCTATAATAATATATGAGAGCACTATCTATCATGAAAGTGGCTAAGAATATTTTAAGAAATATAGTGTATATTTTACGAGAAATTGTGAAAAATAAATGTATTCAATAAACTTTCTTAATTTATGTAAAATTAGTTATTTTTGCTTATATATAGATCTAGAGGGAGTAATAAATAACATCAAACATTTGATCCAATGTCTTCCAAGTAACAGTTCACAAAAGATGCATCTGATTCTTTTTATCATATTACAGCAGTAGCAAAATGAATATAAAAAGTATTCAGTTCACCTGTGCTTCAGGGCATATATGGCCAACCACAAATCCATGTGAACCTCCTGAAAATCTTCCATCAGTCAACAACGCGACTTCCTGCAGTATCAAAAGACAATATCCTTAAGGTATGTCACTCAAGCATAGGTTCATTTCATTATCGTGATTCCTAAAGCTTGAAAATAGGCATTCCAGTCTCTACATGAATAATAATGACTGAAGCATCTTTTACGCATGTTTCACTTAAAAACATATGGGGGAGTCTAGCCACATTTTGTTTAAGGGATGGTCAAAATGAACAACACTAAAAACTATGTAGGATAAACAAGAAGATGCATGACAAACCTTTCCGAGCCCTGCACCCATTATTGCACTTGTTGGTGTTAACATCTCAGGCATGCCTGGTCCACCCTTCGGTCCCTCTCCCCTAATTATAACCACTTTTCCCTGAAAAACAAAAATACAACAGAAAACATTTTCATTTTAGCTGTCACCTAATGTGATGATTATCTCCATGTCATACAAATAAATACTGCAACAAAATTATGCAATAGCAACAATTTCAACCACATTTGCAATCTGTATAGTTCCAAAGAAACATTTGGCGCAGCAAGCACCAGAATCAGAACAAAAGCAAATTGCAGACTCTAGCAGCTAAAATATAAGTAATAAATGTTGTTGTTGTCGCTGCTCAACCAAAACAAATTTTAATGAATCATTCTGCAATTTCAATTATGAAAAATGTTAATAGAGATGCTATTACTCTAAAGTTATCACTTGTTTTAAATAACAGAATTTGTGGTCTAAATCTCTAATAAGTAAACCTTTATGACTAATGAACTTGGTGTGCATCTGAGCATGCATTTGCAAACTTAATTTTTCTATGATTTTGATTTATGTTTCGAAACTTTTATCTCAAAAGGAAGCTTGCAGTAAAATTCAGTATAAAATTCTCAGATCAACACAAAAAAGCAAAAAAGTTTTTTTTTTCTTTACTTCAAGTCAGGCATGCTTTTAGGAGCAAAAGAAAATTTGGCTAGAACAACCAAACATCATTCCGAAGTCTTGATACTTCATTCAAACAACAGTCTTGAGTTTCTTGACTACCCTGCAGTCAGCATTGTCTCTATATGCTTTGAGTTCTAGGTAAAATAGAAAGAAATACCTTAAAGCTTGAAGGATCCTCTGAAATGGCAGCAATCATTGCCTCCTCTCCTTCAAACACAAGTGCAGGACCTGTTGAATAATTCTTGTATTAATAAATTGAGATAGCAAAGGAATTTTTTAGAAATTCAAGAAAACAGAGCAAGAAACTTCACCTGAGAAGTACAGCCCTTCTTTTCCAGTAATTTTGGCGACAGAACCATTTGGTGCAAGGTTTCCATATAATATTTGAATGTGAGCTGTCTTCTTGATGGGATTTTCTATTGGCCTTATTATTTCCTGAATCATGTGTCACAGAAAAATTGTAATTTATCAAGAGATCAATCAATTAAAATATGATAACATTGAACCGAAATAACATCATACTCATACCTGCCCTTTGGACAAAGGAGGGGCAAGTTCTGCATTTTCAGCTAAGGTCTTTCCAGTGACTAGAGAAGAGGTATATGTCTGTTAGAAGACAAGTATATCTTTTGGAAATTAACCTTATGTTCTTAACACACGGAGGCATGTAAACATACCAGTCATACAGTCACCATCTAAAAAGCCTTGCTCAAGAAGGTAGCGTATAACTGCTGGGGTCCCTCCAATCTATCAAAGAAAAAGGGGAAATAGGAATCTTAATAAAAATGAGAAAACAGCAATAAACATCATATGACTGGGACAAATTGATAACTGATGCAGTGTTCAATTATTTAACAAAAGCATTCAATGCATACCTTGTGAACGTCTTCCATGACATATTTCCCACTAGGCTTAAGATCTGCAAGAAAAGGAACCTCATCGCTAACCTTCTGAAAATCATCAAGAGTCAAATCAATGCCAACGGACCTGCCAAAATCATTACACTTGAGGTTTTCAAGATTATAATATATCAATACGATCTGAGGCATCAAACTTCACTCACTTGGCAATAGCAATTAAGTGTAACACAGCATTAGTAGATCCACCAAGTGCCATAACTATAACCATTGCATTACGTAGTGATTTACGAGTGATGATATCTCGGGGCTTCAAGTCCATCTTCAGTAACTCAAGAAGATATTTCCCAGCTAATCGACACTCGTCCAACTTTAATGGATCCTCAGCAGGTGTAGATGAGCTACGGGAACAGAAAATAAAGGTAAGCAAGTTCCCAAAAATTAAAAAATGAGAGAAAAGCTACACATAACTAACCTATAGGGAAGAGACATTCCCATAGCTTCTATTGCAGAAGCCATGGTATTGGCTGTATACATGCCACCACAGGCCCCAGCACCAGGGCAAGAGTTGCGAATAACACTTTGTCTTTGGTCTTCGCTTATTGATCCACTCACGTATTCTCCATAGCACTACAGGAAAACCAGAAATTACTTCAGCAGTTACACATCCAACTTTTAATGTTCAGGGAAAACAAATTTACATTTCAGAGTAGTATCTTCAACAGGAACAAGTAACATTATTTTCTTCATTTAAAAACAAAACTCCATTAGTGAAGGAAGATGATAGATAACAGAGGATGGACCATCCTACTTGACAATATAAAAAATTCCCTGTCAATTTTTCAGTTTTTCAAAAAAGGTTTCTTAAACTCATTTATTTGACCAAAAAACCTTTTTAAATAAATGCAAAATAAAAGATGGGGAAATCAATTAAGCACACACAACAAAGAGATAGGATCAAGATTCAAACAACTTCTCGTACCTGAAAGGCAGACACTATGTCAAACGAATTACCCTGAAAATGACCGGGCTGAAACAAAAAAAAAAAAAAACAATAATCAAAATTAGAACGAAGATGAAAAAGACACCTGAATCAAAACTACATAAAATAAAAATAAAATAAAATAAAAGCGGAATGAATATTCAATTCTTCATAGACCACTCTCTTTCATCTCCTTTTTCACCTCATTTTCTTCTTATCTATTCCTTTCCAAACATCTAATATTCATACTTATTCCTTTCTCTCTCTTTCATTTCTTTTTCTCTCTGTCCCCCTCCTTATGTCCCCCCAAAATGGGGTGTACAATCAACATTTTCCGAAAGAAAATTATCAGTTTCAGTAATTCCATAAACTATCAGTAGCCGATAATAAATAACTTCAAAAGTGCTACATGTGTAGCACATTCAGCTCACAGTAAATTATCAATAAAAAATAAGCAAAATCGAAGATAATTTGTGTAATGAGAGCGAAGTTACCTTTATAGTCCCGCCATAAACCATAATACTAGGTCTGTTGAGCCTTCCCATAGCGATGATGGTACCGGGCATCTGCAAAAGCGTCACACAGAAACACACATTACACGCGACATAACAGCAAACACGTAGAAGGCAAAAGCGGCGCGGGTCATACATTTTTGTCACAGCCGGGGATGGAAATGTTAGCGTCGTACCACTGCGCAGCCATAACGGTCTCAATGCTATCGGCGATGAGGTCCCTGGACTGCAGGCTGTAGCACATGCCTCTGGTGCCCATGGAGATGGCGTCGCTGACGCCGACGGTGTTGAAGCGGAAGGGCACCATGCCAGCGGCGGCGACGCCGTCCCTCACGGCCTCGGAGAGGCGGAGGAGGTGCATGTTGCAGGTGTTGCCCTCGTACCAGACGGAGGAGACGCCGACCTGGGGCTTGGCCATGTCGTCATCGGAGAGGCCGACGCCGTAGAGGACGGCCTGCGAGGCGCCCTGCGACTTGGGCTCGGTGATGCGCGAGCTGTACTTGTTGAGCTTGACGGCGGCGGGCGGTGGAGAGTCCGCTGCGACGGAGGCGCGGACGGAGAGAGCGCGAGAGTGGGATCTGAGAGCTTGAGGAGAAGTGGGGATGAGGGAGTGAGAGGTGGGAGAGAAGAGTGTGGACTGCATTGTGGAGAGGGGTTTGGTAGTGTTGGGGAGAAAGGGGATACTTTTGTCCCTTTGTCCTTTCAAATTTTCAAGAGGAGAAAGGGGATACTCACCACGGGTTCCCCTGTGTTTTACACTTCTTTTTAAAAATATAAAATAGATCAAGGTGAAGTAACAATCCATGTAATATAAGGGAACCAACCATCAACTTCCACTAAACTATCAATTTTTTTCAAATTGGTGTAGTGTAGGTGATTAAGATTATTTTTTAAGGGTTGTCGACAAGGATCAAGCCATGGTTACAATGGATGTTTGATAAACATAATATATATACTTAAGTTTAATTATATTTTATTTATATAATATTGTATTTTTTTTAATTATGAATACTTATGATATACATATATTTAAGAATCATATTTTATGTTACTTTATTATTTTTAGCTTGTTTGGGATGGAAGTTAGAGTTGAGATAAATTTAGTTTAAGTTATAAATGATATAGCTTAAACTAGTAATAGTTATCAAATGGAGGATTGAGATATATATGATGAATTTTGATAAATGAACTTCATAAATTTGTAATTTTATAATCTTAAAAAGAAGTTAGAGAGATGTGCTATGAGCCAACAAAGTCCAATCTTCAATTCGATTTCATCAAAAGATCTTTTTTCTTCCCATGATCGATAGTTAATGTGATAAAAGTTAAGATTTAAGTTGAAAAGTTGGGAATCTTATAGAGAAGTTGTTGTATGGAGGGTTTTGATAGTTCTCTTTTCTTCTTCCCTTTTCTTGATTTAAGTTGAGAAATTGGGAATCTTGGACTACTTAAATCAATTGTAGGAGATTTTTGTAAGTTGATATGTGTGATGACACATCATTTGTTTAACTTGCTTTGTTGTGTTTGGAGTTGTCGAGTTGTTTATCAATTGCTTATCAATTGTTTATATGTTGCTTAGTTGAATATCATTTGTATATTCAATTGTCTTATTGATTTTCATTAGTTCAATTGTTAAATGATATTGATTTGTTCTGTTGATTTCTCTCAGTTGTTCTCATTTGTTAAGATGTGCGATGATATTGAAGTTGTGCTATGCTTTTAAGTTGGAAAGCTAACTTATTGTTTCAAGTTGCTTATGTTGTTGAAGTTGTTACTTCCTTATCTGTTATTATGTTATTTTCTTTTATAAGCTTATCCTTACTTTTTTATATTACTAAACTACAATAATCATACTTGGTATGAGGGTAAGATTATGTTTGAGGGCATGCTTAGTAGATTGTCATGTTGAAGATGACCTTGTTTTGTTCAAACTACTCTAACACAACGATTGTTATTTTTAGAGATGTTTGATTAACATTAAGGTGTTTATGTTATCAATACTTTACTTGAAATATATATATATATATATATATATATATATATATATATATATATATATATACACAAAACTCATTCT